ATATATATATATATATATATATATATATATAATTTGATTTCCCAGAGGGTCAAATAGTTTGCAGCCAGCAGAGCAAGCACTGTTTGATACTGCACAGTATGAACAAACGTGCAGTTATTTATTTCAGTTGTTCTGAACAGGTAACTTATCTGACAAAGGAAAACTAACGCTCCAAAGGGGGTGGGGGGTGAGAGGACCATTTGTCCAACATCCCCCCTTGTTTACTGAAGATTAAGATGATAATGCATCAGACTGCCTCACTGTGTCTTCCTGTGTGGGGGGTGCTAGTCACTTTATTATCATGCCCTGCACTCTCTAACCCCCACCGTGTTTCCTGTTTCATTAGTTCTTCGTGCAGCCTGGTCTCCATGTTGAAAAACCAAACCTAACAGGGCGCCCCCCCAAACACAAAAAAACCCTCCCCCGTCGTCTCTGAACCAAACACCAAATCTCGCGTTGTCCATTTTTGCCGCGAACCTCCGTCCTGCCTCCAACTTATGAATGAGCTGCTAACATTTAGCGCTTTAAATAAGAAAAGCGTGCTAACGCTTAGCGCTTCAATATGTTTTTATTTTAATGCATGTACATGTTTTTGTGTTCAGTGCCCTGAAACAACTCCTGTTGTGACTTGGCGCTACATAAATTAACTGAGTTGAATGTTAATAGTTGTTTAAGAGAAGCGTGCTAACACTTAGCGCTTTACAGCGAATAAACTAAGCGGTCTTAGAAATGTATTGATCAAAGCTACAGATTTAATTTGCTAACTTTGTCTGCTGGTGCCGCCGTGGCTCTGCAGGTTCTGGTCTTTGTGTTGAGCGCGTGCACACGACTGGATCCACCGAACAATAAAACCTGCAGAAACGCGACGTGTTCCGGTTCTGATAAGCGGACAGTTTTAATGTGATATGGACAGAAGCAGCTTGTTTTCTGTTAAAACAACAAGAAGCTGAAGGACTTACCAAGCTAGTTTGGGTCAAGCTCAGGCGGTTCTGCTGCTCTGACTCGCAGTGTTGCCAGATCTCGCGATACAAACAAGAAACCAGTGCTATGAAAAGCCCAAAACAAGCCCAACTGGCAACCCACCGCATTGTGTAAAACAGAGGGCGTTTTTAAACAGTATAAACATGCATTTATTATGGCATTACACATAAACAACAGCAAAATTATGATAAACACTTTGAATAACATAATTTTAAGTTCTGCTTTAAAAAAAAAACATTTTGCCTATGTAATTTTTTCTACATGTTTTTTAAAACATCCTGACATCTGTGTGTGAGTAGAGTCCCCTAGTGGTCGGCCACAGTATGTGTTTGGGGTGTGCGCCCACAGACGTCTTTGTTTATGTCCATGTGAGCCTGTCCTGTTCATAGATAGCATATAAACACTAGATACAGGGCCGCCATCTTGGAACGGTCGACCGCTCCACTCAGTGTAACCTGTTTCTCAGGAGCAATGAAGTATTTGCGCGTTTAATCAGTCATAGCTGAATACTAAATTTATTCTCACGATTTTTTCCTCTGTAAATCTTAGGAGTACAGCCATTAAATCTGAACACATGGTTCAGTGTACTTAAATATTCTTGGTGGGGTTAACATTAACACTAATAAAATATTCTTATGACACGTTTCCAAAACTCACAGTTACTGATACATTTTTATTAAGATCTATATATCATATATATATATATATATATATATATATATATATATATACACACACACAC